GAAACATGCAGTGTTTCTTTGTTCTGCCCTGAGGACAATTTCCTGGTCTGAGTATAGGGTTCGCATGAGCACAATCAAGGGTTCTGTGATTCCCATTCTCCTCAAAGTTAGCCATAATTTGTTGTAATCCAAAGAGTCAACTGCCATTGCATAGTAAATGAAAAGTATAATAGAAAAATTAAAAACAATGGAAAGAAAGCAATCAAAAGGAATGGAAAGGAAAATTACTTTGGTGCCTCATTACATGCCCTTGTTGATAAAGAAGAGTAAAAGCATTTTTGGACCTTCATAGTCTCAAAGAATTTGTCTCCTCCAATTCTTTTCCCAGAAAACACCTGAGGATGTGCTTTAACAAATTATAGAAATGGTATCCCATTTTTTAACAAATCTAGCCCAGTGGGAAGGTAAGCTCCAGGATGAGGGCTGGGCAGGGTGACCAGAGAGCTAGCAGTGTGCAAGAACACAGGAAAGCAGCGTGACAACCAGCACCTCTCTGGGAAGAGAAAACAGCAGGAGAGATAATCTGCTGTGTTTCACCAAATGGAAAAGATCACTGGAGGGTCCTCACCTTGAACACAGTAATTTAAAAAAATAAAAGCAACCAAATAACTACAGAAAAGGAGCCAATTTCCAAGTCTAGAAACAACACAAGAATATACAAGTAAAAGAAGCTACTTATGAGAAGCTGCTGGGCTCACCAGTGAAGAACATTTACTCGGCACGTAGTTTGGCACATACTTTAAAATTATTTTCATTAAATTATGAAAACTTTTAGATACGGAATGAAGGAAAAATAACAGTAGGTGACAATGTTAAATATTCATCTTTCAAATAGGATGTCATCACTAAATGAGCATAAATCAATAAAGTTCTCCTCTAAAAAATAATTCCCTATAAACTTATAGTGACTGACAAATTAGACAAATTTCAGAAGGTTTCAGGATCCTACCCTTGAACAAATCTGAAATAAAAGAATAAAAATAATGCAATGGGTAGGTACGAGCACTGATAAAATAATTTTTGACTGATAGGATTACAAATGTTAGTTTTACTTGTTTTTATTAGTGTACATTATTACATGGCATGAGTGAGGCTGAGAGGAAGTCAAGGAAAAATATCATAAAGATGTATCAGAGTAAATAATTAAGCCAACTCTTTTATGAGAAAAAACTAACATAGGAAAACAAAATATCCCAGGACAGTATGTCATTCTAGAGTTAAAGTATAATCTAAGGGCTTCAGGAAGTCTAGAGAGCTAGATTTCATTCACATATCTGGTTCTACTCGAAAATCAGATGATAATAGACAATTCCATTGTATGTTGAGTTTCCAGGACCCAGCCTGATTCACAGACTCTCTGTTGTGCAATCTTCACTGCTTCTTTATGATAATTCTGTTACGAGTTATTAAAATTCACTTCCAAAACTTTCTGCTCCCCATAGTTTAAATAATACAGTTGAAGGAATGAATGTCAACAGGTTAGAAAAACCTGGTTAGTATAAAAGTATTAACCTTTGGTATAGAAAATGAGTAAGGCAGGATTTTCTGTAGATACTGACTTCTCTAGCAGGGGATTAAAAGTTTTAGATAAAGTGAAAGGTGTCATATTGGGAAAGAGAATTCAATATATTCTGGACAAAAGCTCCAACACTCCACAAACAGTATGGATTCAAAGTATCACAGGCTGACCTGGTCTTTCATTGCACTCATATTTGTATATAAGTCACATTTTCCCTGTCATTACTTTGCCAAAAAAGCTGAGTTTTACTAAATGTGGTAGGTGATAATAGAGGCTCATTAGCCTCATGAAATTTAAGAAAATTTAAAATTCTATTTTTCCCTAAGTGTCATTTTTGAAAAATTACAGAAACTTACATAGAACTAAAAAGACAAGATTTTCCAAAGATGACATTAAGTTGAAATCAGAAATGGGCTTCAGTGTATCAAATGAGAATGCATTTCAAGAGATAAGAATGTAATGGACCCAGAACAGTTACTCAATAAATTGTGGCTATGAACATAAAACAAAAAAACAAAGACACTGCTACCCAGTGTGACTCACAACTGTAGCTTAAAAGTGTGGCAATAAAAATTTCAAGATATAATTCAATGGGGATTAGTTTTATAAAACACAATGTATGGGAATGACTCTATTTAACACCATGTGCATAAAGGAAAGTGTGAAACACAATTTATATGCCAAATAAAATAAAAATTTGAGAGAATGACTATGTTTTATTTACAGGAGCCATGGTTAAGAAGAGAAATTAACAATAGGGATATTTCAATCTTGGTTGACATACACTGGGGAGCACTAGTAATGTCTTCAGACAAAATAAAGGACAAGCCATATAGGGTCAGCCTTGCAGATGAAACAAAGTTTCAATTAAGGATTTAAACTGTTGATGGAAAAAAGACATCTTTCCACAGCCAGTAAAATGTGTGTCAGCAGTTTTGAGAAGACTAAAAGTATAGAAAGAAATATTTGAAAATCACCATGTGTTAGTAAACCTGGTCATCTCTTCATGAACTCATGATTCTGAACATTTGACAAAAAAAAATGTATTTTAAGTTTAGACATTAAGTATTATTATCACAACAAACTCATTGCCATCAAGTAGAAAACAATTTCTAGCCGACCCGACAGTAATTTTGGGCAGCTGCAAATCTCATGAGAAGATATTGTCTATTTTTCTCTTGCTGAGAAGCTAGTGTGTTCAAACCACCAGAGAGACGAGACCTTAAGGTTGATGGTGAAACTCCTTACAGATTATGCCACAACAGTTTGCTATGACCACAAATTCTGAATTTCCACATCAAAATCCCTACCATCAACAATTTCTGAAGCCTTTAGAACTGATGCTTTATTAAGAGGTATACAGGGATATGGAACATAGTTTAGAACTCAAGCAACATGGATTCAATTAAAGTTTATAGAAATCACGATCCTTAGACATCATAACATAATAAGAAAAGCTCAATTCCCTGAGATAAGCAATCTACAACATGAGTATCTCTACCTGCCAGTGTAAAAAGAATGTGGTGACCAGTATGGGGACAGCCAAGCCTAACTGGTTACAACATTTAATTATCACAGTGAGGTAATTACTATGCTTATGTCATCAAGTAACCCTTATCTTCCTCACCAGTTTCATTTTGCTGCATTCAATGGCTATTTTCCCATGACACTTACTCATCCTCTCAGTAGCATTCCACAACTGACTACTGAAATTCAGTGACTGAGCCTTTCTTGAAAGGCAGAACCTCTCTTTTCTTAAACTGCACAATCTCATAATTTCCTGTATGTGTTCTTATGCTAGAATGTTCCTTTGATGGCTCATGTGATAAGTACTGGAATCTTGCAAAGAAATACAGTGTTTTGTTTCATTTATAACCATGGTTAATAAAACCAGTATTCAACCAAAATCTGGTAAATATATTTCTGAAAATAATGCCTGAGAGGGGGTTCAAGAAAATTGCAGCATACATATCAAGTTTTTAAAAATCAGCTTAATTAGTAAAGAGCTCAAATGCAGTCTTTGAAATACTGTTGGAGGGTCAGCTATGTGGAAGTTTCAACTCAATGGCACATTACAACAGCACTTGCTGAAGATTCATTAAGTAGTAGAATAGATGTCTTATTTTATTTTAATCCTCTTCATAATCCTTTAAAGTAGGCATGATCATTTGTGTATAAAAGAGGTCAGGCTTATGAGGTCATATGTGTATAGTAAGTAAGTTCTGGAACAAGAATTTTTACTTCTTCAATTCCTATACTAAAGGACTATGCTAAAATATGAGAGAGGGGAAAAAAAATAATAACTTTAAAAACAAAATCCGAAAGCTTTATTAAGATAAAGTCAATTTACAAAAATTCACCCATTTATGTACAACAATGAATGAATGGAAATCCAAGTTCTCTATAAACTTTCATTAAAATCTCAATTAAAAAAGTTCACCCATTTAAAATATGTAATTCAATGGGTTTTAGTAGCTTTACAGAACTGTGGAATCATCACAATTTTGACATTCCCATCATTCCAAAGAGAAAGCGCATATCCATTAGCAATCAAGACTAATTATACTGTACATGAAAAAGGAAAAGTCCTTGAAGTAATGTCTCCATTAAGTATTTTTATGATTGGCTATTTAGTACAGCAAATGCAAGACAAGAAATCATGGTGCTGCTGAAGAATATGACTTTACCACAGACTGCCACAAGAATGAACAATAATCTGTTTTGAAGTAGGTACAATCAGAATGTTCCTTAGAAACAAGGAGGGCAAGATTTCGTCTCATACGCTTTGGGCAAGTTATCACAAGAGACCAGTCCCTGCAGAAGGGCATCACGCTTGGAAAAGAAGAGGGTTATCGAGTAAGAGGAAGACCCTTATGAGATGGATTAACAGAGTGGCTGAGACAATGGGCTCAAACATGGAAGCCACAGTGAGGATGACAACGACTCAGGATGGTGCAGGACCGGGCAGGGACTCGTGCTGCTGTACATAGGGTCGCTATTAGCCGAAACCACCTCGATGGTACCTAACAACAACAACAATGCAAAAGAAGACCATGAAATAAGTTCCAAAGAAGGAAATACGGTACGGTATGCCATTGGCTACTCTGCATTAGCTACATCTCTATATAGTCAAATAAAACAGGTAAGAGCTGACATTTACATAAAATTGATATGTTATGGGTCAAGCTTCTGTACCTAGACCTTCTTAGACTCTTAAAAATTTTTAATTATACGATAAAAAAGAAAATGGATAAGATTGAGAACACCAGCTTCCTTTAATATTCCAACTAATGTTCTATCAATGTCAAAATAAAAGCTTAGGAGAATAAAACCCTGAACGTTCAGGAGGTGTAAATTTTCTTTTTCAGCAAGAAGCATTCATGCACATATTCTAATAATATTAAGTCATATCATTGATAATTTTCAACAATCATTAAGTATAAACTATGCATTGTACTCGAAATGATAAAAATAAACTCACTGTCAGTAAGTGCACACTCTTCTTCATCCTCATTACCATCCTCGGACGGCGCTTTGTAAGGTGGGGGCAGTTTCATTGGTGGTGGAGCAGTTCCTTGCCTCTGAAGACGCAACATTTGAGAAAAAGTGTAAACGCCTTTGCAAAATCCTCAACTACCACGTAAAATATAATTCAGGAATATATTTCACTATTAAAATTATTATTAATAAAACAACTCAAGTAACATTTGCAAAATAAAGTTGCAATGAGAGCAACTACACCTCATCACCTCATCGGGACCCTATGAACAATAGCTCTGAATCCTGCCCTATTCTGAGCTAATCTCACTATCTCAGACATACCTGTCTTCATTATCCAATTAGCATTACTTAAATCTACATACCAAAACATAGAGCCTAATGGTTCAAAAAGACTTCAGTAGAATAAAACCCTATGATCAGGTTACCTTCACTGAATAGAAACATCTTCTTGAACGATGAGAAAAATAAAACATGTCAAATTTTACAATGAAATCCAAACTGCCAAAAAAGAAGAGGAGCTGATGTATCCAAGCACTCCACAAATATCAAAATAACTGTATTAAGGTTTGCTGTATACAGGGTTTCAATAAAGTACATTCAATTATGCTTTATAGAACAAAACCACTAATGGCAGGATACACTTCAATAAGTGAACAATAACTGGTCCATTACAAAAAGGTAGCACGTAATAGATTCTCCAAAAGAGAAAACACTGTTTGAGATTCATAAAAATAAAGCATGGACTGAAATTTACTTCAGATAATATTTAGTCAAGGAAGTACTTTGTATACTTGTAGAAAATCCAATGAGATAATTTAACAGGGATTAAGAGGCCAAATACGCAATGTTTATTAAACAACGGGATGGCAGCCATATTCTTTATCACTGTTCTTGTTTAATTCTTGTTTGAAAAAGTTAAAAAAAAATTAAAAGTGAAAAGGCAAATGAACTGTTTGCAGTAAACCTTGCCCTCTGAGTTACAGGACTTGATACCAATGACCTTATTCAAATGCATAGTCAGCTTTTACAATGATGTGAATGTTCTCTAATAGTACTGTTTTGGACTTTTAAAAGGAAGCTGTTTATGCAATCAATCTTTACACTAAATACTGCCACTACATTACACAATATGGATGTCCTGATTTTCAGGGTGTAAAAGTGGTTTCCAGATGCTGAGGACGTCTTCCCACTGCACAGATGTGTGTGAGCAGGCGAGGCTGTCATTGAGACAAGGAGGGCTCAAGTAAAGTACATGTAACTTCGTTGTTGTAGCTGCCATAGAGCAGATTCTGACTCATGGCAACATCATGTGTGCTGAGGGCAACTGCTCATTGGAATTTTCAAGGATGTGATCTTTAGGAAGCAAATTGCCAGGACTGTTGTCTTACAGTGACTCTGCGGAGACCTGAACCACCAACACTTAGGTCAGTAGTCAAGGGCTTAACTGTTTGCATCACTCAGGAACTCTTCTAGCATAAAGCTGTTGTATACAGTTGAGCTGTAACTCATAGTTGACCTATTCACAATTTGCCAACTGATAAACTACTGGTTGTTACCCAAGCTGTTTGGATTTTCTGACTCAACAAAAAGAGCTAAGCAGCAGCTGTGGGTCCATCCATAAACATGAGATCTTTCAAGTGCCTTGCTCATGGAACATCACCCAGAAAACCCATTTCATTCTCTAGGGATGTGCACCTTTTGGACTTGCTGTTTGCTTTAGCTGTGCTGCTAACTAAAAGGTCATGTAATTCCAGGCTGGATTCATTAATGGTTCTGAGGAGAAGGATGGGCAGTTCCTCGTCTAGAAATTTACAGTCCTAGAAACCCAGCAGAGTCTTGCTAGGAGTAAAAAACAATGAGGGAGAGAGAGATATTTACTTTAATGAAGATTAGAACTGTAAAAGGATAGATGAAAACTTTTAGAAAACAGAAAGTAAAGCAAATTATTTTTATTTTGTAAATAATTCCAAATTCTGTTTTATAGATAACTCCATGTCATTGCTCTTTAAAATTACCTCAATTAAAATCTCTCTTCACCATTCTTTCAGCAATTATAAACCGTTTTCTTCAATTCTTTTTGAACAAGCTGATCAACCTGTTGATGCCCTAATTAACTATTTACTGAGCTTGCAGTTTTATATTTTTTCAAAGTCATGAATCATGTTTTTAATCTTTTTTAAATTATACCTTGACTGCTTTGGTGATAATCACATTGAGAAGCTGAAGTACATACATCTTATGGAAAAAATGTAAACCATGAGGGCATGAAAATTCTCAAAAGCACAATTCTTGGAAATCTCTCATAGGGTCATCATAAGCCATATCTACTCAATGGCAACTAGTCTGGATTTTGGTGTATTCAACAAATATATGCAGAGTGCATTTTAGGTGCCAGGCATTGTTCTGGACAAATGAGACAGAATAGTGATAATAAAAATCTCTTTCCTTTAAGTTTTTTTAAGAGTCCACATTTTATACATCTTCAGGTCTTGCTTCTAAATTACTTCAAAGCACAGTTGGTGAGTATGATTTTGTCTGTCTTGTCCCACTAGAATTCAAGCTCTGGGAGGAGAGGGAATTTTCCCCCTTTAACAGCTTTATTACAATATAAAACTCAAACAATGCTGTCAAGTCAGAACCAACTCATGGCTGACCCTCCAGCAGGGTTCCAAGATTATAAATTGCATAAAATGAAACTGCCCATCTTTCTCCTGCAAGCTACCAGTAGATTCAAACTGGCAGAGTGATGTGGCCTTTGGGTTAGCAGTACAACGTTCCACAGACTAGGCTACCAGATCCTAGGAGTAATGTTCCTGTATTGTAATATGTTGCAATTGCTGTTATTCATTGCCTCTGAGTTGAGCACAACTCATTGTGACCCTATGAAGAAAAGGCCTGAAGGCTTTCTATTACCTACCAACATTTATCAAAGTTCACAGAGTTTCCGGAGGCATGTTGTTTAGGAAGTAGATACTGTAATATAATTACACATTTAAAAAAAAACATGCACCTAAAACGTACATTTTTAATCTATGACTATAAAGAAGAATATAAACATAATTATTATCATTTCTGAAGCCCACTGTAGGCCCCATCCTGCAACACACATTGCATTAATCTGTTACAAATTTCTAAAATCTTAACACTAACTTAAGTTCTTGCAATGTGCTATTGAGTCAGAACCGCAGGCTATAAATTGTATGGGTTTAGGTTGCTGATCTCTCTCCTTTGAAGCAGCGGGCAGATTCAAATTGCCTTCCTTTGTGTTGGCAGCTCAACTCCTTACTAGACTATCCAAGCTCTATTGCTTTTTTTTTTTTTTGGTGGGGGGGGAGGTATGGTTTTTAACTGTCCAATTATTTTGTCAATAAGGTTCTCCTATTGCTCTTACTTTTGATGTTTCCCTTGATTTTCTCAGTAGTTTCCTCAAATTATCTCTCAAACTGTTAAGAGTATCTCAATGTCATTCTTTCCATTCCTTATCAGTTAGTACCATCATGTCCTCAGGAAAGTTTTCTAATTTTATAGTGTGTTCACTTTATGGGCTATTGTGTTATCTCTTAGAATGAACTGAGACTGTCTACTGTCTCCAAGGGTTATATTCTGTTATACTGGGGACCTCCAATGCTATGCCTAAGAACAATAGAAGAATTGTTGCCTTTGAGTTGTAGTGTTGGCTAAGAGTACTGAATATCTGCTGGACTCCCAAAAGAACAAGCATACATGTCTTGTAACCAGGGTGCTCCTTAGAGGCGTGGATGGTGAAATTTCTGCTTGAAAAGGGACATTATGCTTGGAAAGGTGGTGAATTGGTGAAAAGTGAAAGAGAGGAAGATCCACAACAAGGTGACACAGTGCTTGCAACACTGTATGTTGGAGATGATGAGGCTGGCACGGGACAGGGCCAGGTACAATCTGTAGTTCACGGGGTTGCTATGAGTGACAGTTGATTCGACAGCACTTAACAGCAACAAGTGGCACAGTAAAGAGGCAAACTGCTAATCCAAAGGGGCACATTGCTCATAGTTCAAAGCCACCAACAGCTCCTCGGAAGAGTGATGGGCAATCTTCTCCCATGTGATTTACAGCCTCAGAAAATCTGCCTGAGGGCCAATGAGTCGGAGTGGATTTGACAGTAGTAAGATGACTTGTCTGTTATTATATTTAACTGGGAATTCTATGTTGATGTGTTATGTTCAGAATTTTGTCTGTTTTTGTTATTGTTGCTTCTTGTTCTAATAAAACAAATAACAAATAAACCACAATAAGGTTTGCTATATCTGATATCTGACTGTGCAGGGAAGGTGTGCTACTTAGCTTCTTTCTTTCTGATTTGGTACCATTGATACCTCTTACTGGCTCACAGCATGCCTGCTGGTAGGTGTGGTAGAAGATGGAAGTGTGCACACATCTCTCTTTACTGTGCATGGAGAGCAATTGAGGGTGGCCTTGCTGGTGTTGCTGGACATCTGCCACTGATTAGTTGGAGCATGTGTGAAAAGCGGCCCGCAGCAGGGCTACAGGACATATCTGTATGTCTGAGCAGTGTGGGCACCTGCTCAGAGCAGCAATTACTGCAGATGGTGCAGGATGCCAAGTTCTCTCCAAAGGAGTTCCTGTTGGCCCATCTGATAACTGCGGATAGGGTGTTGGCTCTGGGAAGATTCTAGCATGGAAGCAGCTGGGTGCAGTCACCTGGTCTGCACTATGTGCTCCTCCGGTCTGAGGAGGTGGAGAGCACACCTACCTCTGAACTCTGGGGTGGCTGTGCACTGGAGCCTGATTCATCCCTCGCAATGCAGGAGCTACATGGGCACAGGGATGTTATCAGTTGTCAGATGGGGAGCAGTGGGGCATGACCACATCTCTAGTCACTGGGAGGCTGCACAGGAATGAGGGGAAGACAGAAACTTTCTGATTTGTCAGCTGGAGGTATGAGCTCTTATGAGTCCTTAGCAAGTAGAGTCAATTTCCAGGTTGCTGCTTGTTTTAAAAAATTTAAATGGCCTGGGTGTGCCAGTCCAGCTGACAGTTCAATTCACTGCTGCCTTTTCTCCCTGTTAATGTTTTCATTCACTTTTTTTTTTGTACTTAGAAACTGATCCACTTCTTTAACCTTTTCTTCGAAGCTCAGGGTTGCAGGGCTATCATTCTGTTTAATTTTGTTTTTAATGTCTTTGTTATAAACAATCTTGGTAGTTTATCTGCCTAGCCTGACACTTTATGGGAAGTCAGGCCTGAGAGTCAAACTATATATGCAAAAAACGTGACAAGTTGCCATATGAAAAATTTAACAAGGGTATTTTTCCACGGTGGGCTCATGATGGTTACGTTTGTTTTTGTTTTCTTTTTAAAGATATTTTCACTTTCCTAGTGTTCCAAATAAGATTATTTAAAGTATATGAGAATGAATTCACAAGTTACAAGATGTCAAATCAATATATATAAGTTGGTTTCCTACTTTTTAACACACTGGTAATATATTGAAAATATCATTTCAAAATATACAATAGTAATAGAACACTATGATATCTCAAAATAAATAAATGGTTAAAATGCCATGTGGAAGAAGATGGTAAGAAGGAAAGGAAGAATTCAACAAATGGAAAGATAAGCTATCTTAATGGTTAAGAAAGTTCAACATGAAAAATGTGTCACTTCTTCCTAATTAACTTACACGTTTGTCACAATTTCCATTAAAAGCCACAATTTCTAAATGGGACTTGACACGCAAATTTTAAAATGCAGAAGGAAAAAAAGGGGGAAAGATGCAAATAGATAAGGGTGTTTTG